CCCAGACTCCGCCTTCATATGAATATTACAATTAGATGTTACAATTTAATGAATATGCATGATTGTGTTGTAATCCTATACTCAAAAACTGTATAAAAGAGCTATGCTAATTGTACACGACGGAGCTCTTTGCCCAGGGCGACCTGGAGAGCTCCCCAACGCGTTGGGCGACCTGGAGAGCTCCCCAACGCGTTGCTAATAAAATACCTCCTGCTTTAAAGAAACAAACCTTGTCTCTAAAGCAGTTTCTCCGTGCCTTTTGGGGCAAAAATTCGGCATCATTTTGGCGACCCCAGATGGGACGTTTTGGTCCTCCTGAGCCGGGGCCTGGGGGTCTAGGGACTCTCTGGGCCCTGCCGGCGGATTTTTGTCGGTAGAGACTCCCCAGACCCCTCGGACCTACGTGCGACGGCGGACAAGAACTCCTGCTTTAAATTAAGAGGTATTTTGCTTTATATGTTATTGTGTTTTGCTTTATATGTTATTGTGTTTTGCTTTATATGTTATTGTGTTTTGCTTTATATGTTTTTGGAATAGAAAGCACTTTATTGAGACGGGGGTAAGACGTTACCCCCAGGGGAACGCTGAGGGGACGCCCCAGCATATAATCCCCTACGGGTTAGAGTCCTGGCTTGGATTTGGCCCCCCCAGGTATCGTGGGTTAGAGTCCCAAAAATTCGGGTTAGAGTCCCGGCCTTGGGGTGGACCCCCAGGTATCGTGGGTTAGAGTCCCACTTTGGGTTAGAGTCCCAAAAATTCGGGTTAGAGGCCCGGCCTTGGGGTGGACTTCCAGGTAATCGTGGGTTAGAGTCCCACCAGAGAACGGAGAACGGGTTAAAATTAGGATAAGTTTGCCGGCAAAAATTGTCTGTTGTACCGCTTGTCTGTCGTATCGCTTGTCTGTTGTAGTGTTTTAACTAATCTGGGATTATTTCCAAAAGTCTGGGAAGGTTTCGACAATTTCTGGGAGTGGTGCCAATCTCTGGGAGCGGTTCCAATAACTTCTCTCGAGAAAGGACTTTGGAATGTGGAAAAAACTTACAGTATGAAATATGAGTTTTGCTTATTTTCTTAAATTCTGCTTATTTTCTGTACTGTTTAATGGACTGCGCGTCTAAATCTTAGGATAAAAATCTGGTCTTTCTGTAATTGTTCATTCTATAGTACATGTAAGCCCAAAGAGAATGCAAGAAATTGTACTTGATTAAGATGAGGCAGGGATCAAATACTTTGTAAACGATATATCTTTTAGCTTGCAACAGACTGAATATTGGGCAGCAGTATTTTACGGTCTGCAAGTGACACCTCGTGACTTTATTTGGTAAAGCAATAAGCTAAAAGGTAAGAACGTTTTATCTAAAAGTGTACAGGTGTGAATGCGTGTGAGTGAGACGTGCAAATAAGCACGAAGTGAGTGCGGAGTCCTAATCTGCGGTTCCTGTTCTTCGCGAGAAGACAGGCCAGAGACGGACGAAGCGATTGGAAACTTGTGTGTATGAAGTATTGACACAAAAAAAAAAAAAAAAGAGAAAAAGAGAAAAAAAAAAAGAAAAAGAGAAAAAAAAAAAATCTGGTTAAAGCAAAGAGATAGATTTAGAAAAACAGCAATGGGAGGCCAGCAAAGGAAAGATATAAACATGAAGACCCCCTTAGGGTGTGTCTTGAAGCATTGGAAAGATTTAGGGGGGATTCCAGGGGGAAACATAAGTAAAAAGACACTTTTAAAATACTGTACACAGTGGTGGCCTCTATATAAGTTGGATGATGATGAGAAATGGCCTCCGGAAGGAACAATTAATTACAACATAATTTTACAACTCATGTTGTTCCTCCGTCGGCTAGGCAAATGGGACGAAGTAATGTATTGCGATATGTTCTTCACCTTGAGAAATAAACCAGAGTGGCAGAAGGAGTGTGGGGTGAATGTAGCACCCCAAGATCCCCTGGTACTGGCCTTAGAGAAAGATAAGAAAAACTTAAGATCTAAGGAGCGTTGCTGTGATGCCTGTAGTATTGGACAGCAATGCCTTAGATTAACGAGAAGGGATAGCGGAAAAGAGAGCGAAATAAGCTTATGGGAGTATCAGCCGTTCGCGCCAGGATATGGGGTTCCTCCGCCCAAGCGAAGGGAAGGCGAAAGGGACACTAGTCTGTTGGGGGATATGTCACTAGAACAAGACGGATCCAAGAACGGTTACAGCCCCCAAAGATTAGAAAACAGTTGGGAAGATAGCAGCCCAGCAAGATCGGAGAGTTATGGGAAAGAAAGCGGATCACAGAAGCTGAGTAGCCCACAAGGCTCAGAAACTTACCGAGAAGAGAGTAGTCCTCTCAGTTTGGAGACTAGTAGGAAAGAGGACAGCTCACCACGACTGGAGCTAGAGGGTCGGAAAAAAAAAGAGTAGCCCACCTAAAATGAGAGGTAGCCAAAATAGAGATTGCAGTACGCCAAGAGATGAAAACACCTCACGAAGATCAGGCGGCCCGCCAAGTCCAGGCAGCCCGCCAGGTCCAGGCATCCTGCCAGGATCAGGGAGCACCAGAAAGGGGGGTAGCTCCCCTGAGCTAAGATGCAGTGATGATGATGATGATATAGTTAGCCAGAACAAAAAGGTAGACAACTCACAGAAATTGAGTATAGTCATTCAGATAGAGGACAAAAGAAATACAAGAGGGACAGAGGAGGACGAAGAAGACAGTGTCTCAGGGCACGTCGAGCGTAGACAGCGTCTCATCCAAACACAGAAGGAGAGGCGGCTGGACTGTGTAAACCATGCCAGAGGGTTAATAGAGGATGATTTGGCGGAAGGGTCGGAAACTGAGAATGAGGAACGAAAACAGAAAAAGAGAACAGGGAAGAGAAAGAATAAAATAGATATCGAAACCCAGGAAGAAGATCCCGGAGAAGGGACTAGCAATTCATACTATACTAGATCGGCAGCACGGAAGGAAGTGCGAGAGAGAGACGAAGAAGGTTATATGATAGCTCCCCTCAGAAGGATAATGCCTATTGCAGGGGAACAGGCACGGATAAAAGTACCATTTACAACAAGCGATTTAAATAGCTGGAGAGAGGAGGCAAGAAATTTCAGAAAGAATCCAGAGGGAGTAGCCAGGAGGTTCAAACTACTGGCAAAGAATCAGGATATTGATTGGGAAGACATAGAGGTAATGCTGTCAGAATTAACAGAAACAGAAAAGGAACTCGTATTAAGAACAGGAAGAGAGCATGCTGCATTACTACCAGAAAGAATAGATGTAGTATTCCCCAATCGAAACCCAGAATGGGATCCGAATAATCCAGTTCAGTATGGGCGGCTGGTGCAATATAGAAAGCTAATAGCAATGGGTCTGCGAAATGCAATACCTAAAGCCATCAACTGGGCAATGCTATATGATGTCAGACAGGGGAAAGATGAAACCCCCTCAGAATTTTTGGACAGACTTAGGACAGCTATGAGACAATATACACCCCTCGACCCAGCATCGGAGGAAGGGAAGCAACAGTTATTGGGGTTAGTAATGGGACAATGCACCCCAGATATCAGAAAGAAATTGCAAAAGCTTGAGCATCCAGCAAATAGAAACCTAGAAACATTGATGAACGAGGCCTGGAAAGTGTATAATAACAGAGATAAAGAAGAGAAGAAAAAGGAGGATAAAAGGTTTGCTCGAATAGTGGCAGCAGCAGTGGCAGCCCCAAATGCAAAGCCTCCAGAATTCAATACCAGAGGCAGAGGTAGAGGTTACCCAGCAAAAGGGAGTGGGAAAAGAGAATCTCAGCCCCATTTGCCTGGGATAAAACCAAATCAGTGTGCTAATTGCTGGCAGATAGGACACTGGAAACGAGATTGTCCTCTGCTAGGAGAGAGACCTGCAATCGCTACCATTGCACATCAGGACAGTGAATGAGGGGGACCGGTGAGTCGTTCCCTAGCAGACCCACTGGTTAAAATGGAGCTAGGGGAAGGTGAAAAAGAATTAAACTTTTTAATAGATACAGGAGCAACATTTTCGGTTTTGAATCAAGAATTGGTACCCAGAAGTGATGAATTTGTACAGGTCGTGGGAGCGACAGGCCAACCAGAAAAAGCCTACTTTCTAAAACCTATTAAATACAAAATTGGGAAACAAATGGGAATTCATCAATTTTTGTATTTACCAAATTCTCCAAAGCCTCTAATAGGTAGAGACCTATTAGAGAATTTAGGGGCGGTAATAAAATTCAATAAAGATAAACTTGAGTTTCAAGTAAATGATGAACAACTAATAGCAGCTTTAAGTCTGACAATCAGCTATATAAAACCAAAACCTGAAAGTCGTAGCATTGAACGCATTATGAGTGAAGTATACCCACTAGTATGGGCTACTGATGTACCTGGAAGGTCAAAACGAGCAGCTCCTATCAATATTGAGTTAATACCAGGAACAAAACCGGTAGTAAGAAAACAATACCCGCTGAGGTTGGAAGATAGAAGGGGAATTGAACCAATAATAGAGAGATTTCTAGAACTAGGATTATTGGTAGAATGTGAATCAGATTTCAATACACCAATCCTACCTGTTAAGAAACCAAATGGGACATATAGATTAGTCCAAGAATTAAGGGCAGTGAATGAAATTACAACAACTTTACACCCGGTCGTAGCAAATCCCTATACTCTTCTAACCAAATTGAGGGAAAATTTAAAATGGTTCACAGTATTAGACTTAAAAGATGCATTCTTTTGCCTAGCCTTAGCTCTGACAAGCCAGAAAATTTTTGCTTTTGAATGGGAATCTGCTAAAACAGGGAGAAAGACTCAACTAGCTTGGACTGTGTTACCGCAGGGATACAAAAATAGTCCCACAATTTTTGGAAACCAATTGGCCAAAGAATTAGAACAATGGGAAAGGCCACTGGGAAATGGTACCCTTCTACAATATGGAGATGATTTATTAGTAGCAACTGAAACAGAAGAGGAGTGCATTGAATGGACTATTTCCCTGCTAAACTTTTTGGATATCGAGTTTCTCTACAAAAGGCACAGCTGGTACAAGAAAAGGTGATATACCTGGGATATGAAATCTCCAGAGGACAACGATCTCTAGGCACAGCAAGAAAAGAAGCCATCTGTCAGATGCCCAGACCAGAAACGGTAAGAGATCTACGGGCCTTTCTGGGAATGACAGGTTGGTGCCGATTATGGATTTATCAATATGGAATACTTGCCAAACCACTATATGACTTACTAAAGGAGACTACGAGTACCTTAACCTGGACTCCCGAGGCAGAAGGAGCTTTTAAAAGACTGAAATAAGAACTCATGAAAGCCCCAGCCTTGGGTCTTCCAGATGTAACTAAGCCGTTTTGGTTATTCTCCCATGAGTGGCAGGGGATGGCTCTGGGAGTTCTAGCACAGCAGTTGGGACCACATAAGAGAGCTGTAGCTTATTTCTCCAAACAATTGGATGAAGTAAGCAAAGGCTGGCCTGGATGTTTAAAAGCAGTGGCCGCAGTGATCATAAACATAGAAGAGGCCAGAAAGCTTACGCTAGGCCAGAAAATGACTGTGTTAGTCTCTCATACTGTCTCAGCAGTGCTGGAACAAAAGGGTAACCATTGGTTATCGCCTTCAAGATTCCTAAAATATCAAGCCATCCTAGCTGAATCAGATGATGTAACCATTCAAGTAACTAACATTGTCAACCCAGCTTCGTTTCTAGAAGGAAGAATTCCGGCAGAACCTCTCGAACATGATTGCCTGGAAACGATCGAGGCAGTCTATTCCAGTCGTCCAGACCTCAAGGAGGAACCATTTGAAGATGCGGACAACTGGTTCTCGGACGGCAGCAGCTTCGTGAAGCAAGGAGTAAGAATGGCAGGCTATGCAGTGACCACAACAGAAGAGGTAATTGAATCAAATCCCCTACCTGCAGGGACTTCGGCCCAGAAGGCAGAACTAATTGCTCTTACCCGAGCCCTGGAATTAGCAGAAGGTATGCGAATTAACATTTGGACTGATTCTAAATATGCTTTCTCTGTCGTACATGCTCATGGAGCAATTTGGAAAGAAAAGGGGACTATTAACTGCCCAGGGGAAAACAATCAAACATGCAGAAGAAATTCTAAGGTTGTTAGAAGCGGTCCAACTCCCAGAGCAGGTGGCCATAATGCATTGTAAGGGACACCTGAAAGGTAACACAGTTCCAGAAATAGGGAATAGGAAGGCAGATGCAGAAGCCAAATTAGCTGCTACAAAAACTGAAGAAATAAATATAACAGCTTTAATACCGGGAGAATTAGATACAAATTTTCAACCAAATTATCAAGAATCAGATCAAAGATGGATTAAAAGGAACAAGGGTAAATTGTTAGACAACGGGTGGGGACAGTTAGAAACAGGTCAACTAATAATACCTGAAAAATTAATGTGGCAGTTTGTAAAGACAGAACATGAAAAAGCCCATTGGGCCTTGGACCCACTCTATCAATATTTACAAACCCGGATAGCAGGACCAAAACTCTTTACTACAGTAAAATATGTCACATCTCAATGTGAGCGATGCCTAAAGAATAACCCAAATACTGGAGCGAAGGTACATCAGGGAGCCATAAATCAAGGTAAATTCCCAGGTGAAGTGTGGCAAATTGATTTTTCAGAACTCCCAAGAAAAGGGGGGTTTCGATATTTATTAGTACTAACTGACACATTTTCTGGGTGGCCTGAAGCATTCCCTTGTAGGGCAAATAAAGAAAGAGAAGTAACCAAGGTTTTACTAAACGAAATAATACCCCGATTTGGGGTACCGAGAAGTATATCTTCAGACAGAGGTACGCATTTTTGTGCAAAACTAGTAAGAGCAATAAGCAAGGCATTACAAATCAAGTGGCAGTTACATACGCCTTACCGGCCTCAGGCCAGTGGGCAAGTCGAAAAGATGAATCACCTGATTAAACAACAAATTGCTAAGATATGCCAGGAAACCAATTTACAGTGGTATCAGGCTCTGCCTATTGCTCTGCTTAGACTAAGAGTCAAACCCAGATCAAAAGAAAAATTGAGTCCGTTTGAAATTCTGTATGGAAGACCTTATGCTATGCAGATTGTAAATGGAGATGCTGTAGACCAAATAGGTAATCAGTACATTTATGATTATGTAATCGCTATAGGGAAACATTTTGATAAAAGTACAGCTGTGGTGATAGAACATCAACCCAAACAGCCTGATTGTAAATTACATCCGTTCAACCCCGGTGACTGGGTGTATGTTAAGAATCTCTTAGGAAAACCCCTACAAGAAAAGTGGGAAGGACCTTTCCAAGTACTGCTGACACCTTCACCGCGGTCCGGATCAAAGAGCGACCTACATGGATTCATTACTCACGAGTCAAGAAAGCTCCGGAGAATAAGCAAGAGGAAGAAACGAGTGAAACACCAGCATCTGCAGATAATTGTTTGGGTACCAAGCCCCTGAGTAAAAGTCCTGTGTGAATATGGACACGGCACTACCATTAGTGGGATATTTTTACAGGGCATTCCCCAACAGCAACTCAAGTATTCCACTACCTTGTGCACCCAATACTAATCATAACCATAGCTATGCTCTTACTAACACTCACAAACATATACCTATGGAGCAGACTGAAATCCTTAATGACAAAAACCCAAACACTTTGGGCAATGATCCAATCTTACCAACGTCCCTTAGAGATTACGAAAGAATTCGTAAGTTATAAGAAAAGGGGGGAAATGAAGCCACTCACTTAAAACTTTGAAACATAAAAGGTTAACACAAAATTGTAAGAGAAATTTCAAAACCTTAACATTAGGAAACTAGGCAGTCCTTGAGATAGCAACTCAGCGAATCCTAGAGCAGTCCTAGAGAGATAGCTGCATTCCTCACAGAGATAGCAACTCAGCAAATCGTAGGATGAGCCAAAAGTCAGCCTGACCTTATTGTGTTTGCCAAAACTGCCTTAAAAGGAGAAGATCCAAAGAAAGTTCAGAAGTTTACAGTGAGGAAGACTCACACACGACCCCCGCCCAGAGGAAGGCAACAGGAACCCCCACCGTGAAATCTCCCCAAATTGAAGACTCCGCCCAGACTCCGCCTTCATATGAATATTACAATTAGATGTTGCAATTTAATGAATATGTATGATTGTGTTGTAATCCTATACTCAAAAACTGTATAAAAGAGCTATGCTAATTGTACACGACGGAGCTCTTTGCCCAGGGCGACCTGGAGAGCTCCCCAACGCGTTGCTAATAAAATACCTCCTGCTTTAAAGAAACAAACCTTGTCTCTAAAGCAGTTTCTCCGTGCCTTTTGGGGCAAAAATTCGGCATCATTCTGCTATAGCAGGTATTAATCTGTTCAAAAGAATTCTTGCAAGGATTTTACCAGCAATGGAGAGCAGAGTAATACCTTGGTAATTTGAACAGCTTGATTTATCTCCTTTCTTCTTGTACAAGGTGGCAATGACTGCATCATGAAGGTCTGAAGGTAGTTTGTCTCATTCTCAACAGCACACCACAAATTCGTGAAGCTTAGCATGGAGTGCTTGGCCACTATGCTTCCAGACTTCAGGTGGGATTCTGTCAACCCCAGTTGCCTTGCCAATTTTCACCTGCTGTATTGCTTTAAGTTTCTCCCATAGTGGGGGCACTATCCAGTTCAGTTTTCACTGGTTGTTGTGAAATGTACTGCATTGCTGAGTCTCAAACTGGTTGGTACTGAAGAGAGACTGAAAGTGCTCAGACCATAGATTCAAAATGGAAACTTTATCTGTGAGAAACATTTGACCATCTGCACTGAGTAAAGGGCTTTGAACCTGATGTGTAGGACCGTAAGCTGTTTTCAGAGTCTCATAGAATCCCCTGTAGTCACTTGTATCTGCCCATAATTGGATTTTTTCTGCTAGATTGGTCCACCACTTGTTCTGGATGTCATGAAGTTTCTGTTGGAACTTGCTACATGCAAGTCGAAAGACTGCTTTTCTTATATGGCAAGATGGCTGAGCAAGGTGTGCTTGGTGAGCAGTTCTCTTCTTTCTCAACAATTCCTGGATCTCATGATTGTTTTCATCAAACCAGTCCTTGTTTTTCTTGAAGGAGAACCCTAAGGATTCTTCAAAGGACTGCAGAATGCTATTTTTAATAAGTTGTCAAAGCACTTCAGGAGAGGGATCTATGGAATGAACTTCGAGCCTGGATTGAAGATTTGCCTGGAAACTGTCTCTCACTGTAGTTGTTTGAAGATTGTTAACTTGAAGTCTCCTTCTTGGAATGCCCCCCCTTTTAGGTTTGAACTTAAGGTGAAGGTTAAGTTTACAGCGTACAAGGCAATGTGGCATTCTGCACAAGGCATAATGAACATCAGAAATATCTCTCTGTTGGACCAAGATATAATCAATGAGGTGCCAGTGCTTGGATCTAGGATTCATCCAGGTTGTCTTCAAACTATCTTTCTGCTGAAAGATAGTGTTGGTGATGGTGATGGTGAACTTCTGCTCAGCACAAAACTCTAGCAGAAGGCATCCATTATCATTGCAGTTCCCAACACCATGCTTGCCTAGTACTCCTTTCCAGGTTTCAGAGTTCTTTCCAACTCTGGAGCTGAAATCACCAAGGACAATGATCTTATCATCTGCAGGAACATTTTGGATAAGGTGGCATAGGTCGGTGTAGATTTTATCTTTTTTGACAGGGTCAGTTTGGAGGGTTGGGGCATATATACTAAAGAGAACAGCATGTTGCTTGTTGTGTAGTGAGAGACGTAGGGAGATAATACGATCAGAATGACCAGTCAACAGATTTTCGAGTTTAGAGGCAATAGAGTTTTTGATCATGAAACCAACTCCTGAGAGATGCCTTTCAGTTCTGGGTTTACCTGACCAGTAGAGTGTACAACTGGCACCATGTTTTCTAAGGTTGCCTTCCTCATGGAGACGAATTTCACTGAGAGTAGCGATGTCGATGTTGAATCGTGACAGTTCGTGGGCAATTGGAGCAGAGGGACCCTCAGGACGTCCACTATTCGCAGTATCAAGCATGGTTCTGATGTTCCAGCATGCGAGTGGTAATTTGAATAGACCTTTGAAGGTAGGTGTATGCCTTTGACTCTTAATCTTTATTTGACCACATCAGAAGATGCCCGTTGGCCACAGTTAACCAACCGGGTGAAGGGTGGAGATGAGCTTTGGTTAGGCCACCTTTTCTAGGCCTCTCTCCATGTGGAGCAAGCAGTGCTCTCCTTGATAAAGGTTGCTTGGTCGTTCAGGATGCTGCCGAGTGAGGCTGTCATCTCTGGCGTCAGACTCAGGTGACCAATGTCCTGAACTGCCTGCATGCAGGGTTGGGTCTGTGGCTTCCTTATCACCTGCCATTTTGTCCCTCACCTATTGCTGCAGGACTTTACAAGTGTGGGTATAACCTTCGAACCTGCGCAGTGGATTTTTTAGGTGAGGTTCAGCATGCACAGAACTGGTCCCACCCTTTACTCCTGAGGTTCATCTGCCAGGGCCTAGCAAACTTGGACGGTGACAGGGAGGTCCTCAAGACGTCGGTTTAATTAGAATATCCTTCTCTTGGACGGATGGCCTTACAGAGTTAAGTAAGCTCCATCTACCCGGGTTTGAAATTAGAGTTGTCCTTCTCCTAGGATGACTGCCGGAAGGCTAGTGAGCCCATCCTGCTCATGGACACATTTTATCTGACCCTTCAGTTTTGACCTGTCTGGCATGGGAGACCCTACTGGAGACATATGCCTTGGTCAGCACAGCTCGCAACCTCATGAGGGCATACAGGTCTCTCCCCACTGAAATAGTTTGGACAAGCCCTTCTCTCCCTACTTTTCCCTCACAGCTCCCTACACTCTAACCCAGGGACATTTCCTTGCCCTAAACACCCCTTCAAGATGCTATAATTCAAAAAAAAAAAATGCCGGGGGTGGACCAGCAGAGGCCTACAGAGAATGGAGACAGATACAGAAAGGCTACGAAGAAACCTTGGAGGAAGAAATCGATCTAGAGGTGCTTTGACAGCTGCGACTGCAGGAAGCGCCTGAGATCCAGTGATAAGACGCCGCTTCCACAGACCCCTGCAGGACCCCCCTATCTGCGCCCCTCACCATTCCTTCCCTTCCTTCCCTAACTCCCAAATCTCCCTATATGGCTGGACATATCCCTGCAGCAAATCCCTCCATTTTCCCTTATCTCTGACCCTTAGGATTCGTGCC